ATAATGACAGTTGCTCATGCAGAAATATTGCCATACTTAGCATAGCGTATAGGGAATTTCAGTGAGGGATGTTTAACTAGTCTGGCTTTTTTTAAATTTTAGATGTAATAAGTTGGAGGCATTCACAGCTTTGTTCCCTTTGTTGGAGAGTGCTGACTCATTAGAGGTAAATGTGTAAGTTTTGCGAGACCAACATGTTTCCTGTGTGTGAAATTAGTATAAAAGAATAGTAATGGGGAGGCCGGCTTAATGAGTTTGCATGCCTCTGTAGTTTTACAACAAAGCTTCCAGTCATGCAGATGTAAATCCTAAAAATATTTTATATAAGTTTTACTTTTCTGTAGCATTTAGCTTTGCTCTATAATCATTGACCTACTATTTTGCCTTGGCACTGCTTGAGAAATGCAAAGAATGGTGATAAATGAGCATTTGCTTTGTTTTGTATTACCATAGCATTTTCATGTACTTTATGCTGAGCAAGTCCTTGCAGGGTTCTAGAATAAAGAGCCACCCAGAGGTTCTAATAAAATCAGGCCAAAATAATAATTTTAAACTCACAGATCCAGATTTTGAACTATGACAACAGTGTATTTATAGTACTCAGCAAAAGGTACAGTCACTATCAGAAATCCATCCATCCCTACATCCATATATCCATACATCCCTTTTCTTCCACTTATTCATGGTTTTGAGGGGCTGAAGCATACCACAGTTGTCATAAGGAGAGCGATAGGGTCCACCTTGAACAGGTTGCCAGTCTGTTGGCTAGCACATAGTAAACAAAGAGGTACTGGTAGAACTTCAAACAGAAACGCCCCCATGCTGTGAGGTGGCAGTGCTAAGCATTGCACCACTGTGGGGCATTGTCTGTTATTAAGCCCTACCAATACAAAGAGCTTTTAGATTCTAGATACACACACCAGAATACTTTTGCAATCAAACCATTTGTCCAAATATGTTTTTTTATAAATCAACTTATTGTTACTGCAGCTCTCAGGTTTAGGAAGTCAGAGGTACTGTTTATTCATACCCAGTTAGCACTCACTAGTATCCACTAGTAAGCATGCTAGCACTAAATGGATGAATAAATTTCACCGCATGAGCTAAACACAAAAAGCATGCTATATCTGCCTGGGTTGTCTCTGCATTCAACGCTGAGTGATGCTAAGACTGTGACATGGCTAGTAATTATTCAGCTCAACAGTTTGCTTCATCCTCTATGGAACAACTCTGATCAGGCATCTGGATGTTGAATAGAGTCCATCTGTTTCAACGAGGCGCATAAATCTGCAGAATTAAGAGGTGAATTCCCCTTCCCAACTTTTTGTTTTTATGTCTAGGCGACTAATGACCTGGAGAACTTTGACAAGGACCGCCATGATGAGTTCAAGCAATACGAGATGATGAAAGAGCATGAGCGACGGCAACGTCTGAAGAACTTGAATGAGGAGGATCGCAAGAAGGAAGAGGAACACTACGAGGAAATGAAGAAGAAACACGCCAGCCACCCTAAAGTCAACCACCCTGTAAGACGCCAGCTATAAAGCAGTTCATTACGAATGCTAAGATTATAGCCAATGTGGGGGAACAAATGACATTTAAGCTGAATGATATTATTTGGAAAACATGAATGATTTTTTTTTTTTTTTATGATAAAATTAACTCATTTAGTTGGGCCAATTTTATTTAGATTTATATGCAAGCCATAGAATAAAGATGCTAAATAGTGCTAAATACAAAACAAGAAAAAGGAGAAACCTTGATGTGTACCTCTGTGTGTGCAGGGCAGTGAGGACCAGCTAAAAGAGGTGTGGCAGGAGGCAGATGGTTTAGATCCAGAAGATTTTGATCCAAAAACTTTCTTCAAAATGCACGGTAACCATAGACCATACACTGAAGGTCGTTTAAGAGCAAAGAATGAATATAGCATTCAAATGTTGTCTTATTGGCTAGTGTGCCAAAACTATGGATGGTTAAAATCAGACACAGATTTCCGTTGTTTGTTTTGTGTTGCAGACAGCAACGGAGACGGCTTCTTTGATGAGAGTGAGCTTGAAGCTCTCTTTACTAAAGAGGTATATGTTTTATGTCTAACTCTGGTTCTGCATAGTCTGCGATAATGTAATCTGCAAATGAACAAGTCTCTGAGGTAAAATTTGTGCATTTCATTAAGCTGGAGAAGGTTTACAACCCAGAAAATGAAGAGGATGACATGGTTGAGATGGAGGAAGAGAGACTGCGAATGAGAGAGCATGTTATGAACGAGGTGAGCCACCACAAAACTATAAAATGTACAGATCATTGTCATGTTTATTAGCATTTCTAAAGTATTGATTAGTATGTTATGAAGGTATTCTCTGTTGTCAGAATACAATCATAATGTATATTTCATAACAAACGTGTGTCATTGCTGCCTGAAATCTAATGAATGAATTTAAACATCTGTGTGTGGAGTAGCTATTTTAGCAAGGAGCTAAAGGTCAGGGCCTTTGGGACGTATCTGGTGAGTGATTTATCTCGATGACAGTTGTTGATCAAAATTGCTTCATGTATTGACATTCAGGTGGACACCAATAAAGACAGGCTTGTATCACTGAGCGAGTTCATGGCAGCCACAAAGAAGGAAGAGTTCTATGAAAAAGACGAATGGGAGGTAAGAGCTAGTAAGGTTTGGCTTCCCTCCTGGCATTTTTGTGTACAGAGTAGTATTAAAAATTAATGTGAACCCAATGTTATGTTAGTGTATTAAAATTCAATTCAATTATTCATCAATATGAGCTATGAAACTATGAGCTTAGGCTTGCGTAAGTGCAACACAATAAACAGCTGTTTTCAGAAATTGTCTACAAAGGGTGAGATTCCAAATCATTAAACTCCCCAAGAGATTTAACAGCTGACATTATATCATGAAATCAGAAATGTATATGATTTCTTATCACATCATTTATTTATGTGCCCTCTGCAGACTTTAGATCAGAACCCATTGTACACCGAAGAGGAGCTGAGAGAGTTTGAACAACAACTGGCCAATGAGGAGAATGACATCAACAAGAAGTCGGCTGAGCTGCAGAAAGAGAGAGAGGAACTTGAAAGAAAACAGGAAGAACTTGATGCTCAGAAGCTGGGGCTGAAACAGGTGAATTATCTGTCAACTATCCATAGCAGATGAAATACAACCTGAAAATAGGATTTTTCTATACAGTTGCTTGACCCTTTCTACAGATGTAAGAATCTGGCTTACAGTGTGAAACATGCTGAATTGCACTTAAATCTTGTTTTAGAGACTTGTAGACCTGAAACATGCAGGCAATAGCAAACAAAGTCTTAAACCATTTTTATGCTCTTAACATTTTTTTGTCCTTCTCTCGCTGCTCAGGCAATGGAAGAAATGGAAAGGGTTAAATCCCAAAGCTTAAATGCTGATGTAAAACGTGAGTATGAAATTTATGATAAATGATGCTGGAAACAACAAATCACATGATGTTAAAGGTCTCTTAATTGCACTCTACTTCCATTTTAACATTTTTTAAAATCAAGTGAAAATTAACCACCCAGTCGAAAACCTGCATCCAGATCCACAGAACAGCCAAAATAAGTTATTTACTTGTGCATCCCCAATCAAAATACACTTAAAAAGATGCAGTGAGGGAAAAGCATTGTTATCCTTTTTAATAAGACGAGATTAAAAGCTTTTTATCATATCCTAATAATCATTTAAATGCATCTCATGATTGTATACACATATGAATCTTTGTTACAGAGCCTGCAGCTCCTCTAACTGCAGGTGAACATGCACCAGTTGTACCAGGAAACAGTCAGCCACCTCCGCCTGGTCACCAGCAGCAAGATGTACCCGTGCCTGGACATTCTTAGCAGGCCTCACCACCCTGTGTGCGATATGAGTGAGCATGCAAGTGTGCTTGTGTTTTCATGATTTCAATTTTGGGTTATTGTTTAGAATTTTCAAAACACACAGCAACACATAGGGGGGGGGGGAAGATCTCTTAGTGCCAATGATGCCCTTCCTTCTGCTGGTTAAATCAACTGAATGAGCCAGCCTGGAAATGTGGAGCTGCTCCAGTTTTCTATGTGGACAATCAACCCTTTTGTTTTTGTTTTTTTAATCTTGTATCACAAAAGGACTCTGTTCTCTATTGGAAGTTCTTTGGGGTGAAATGGGGAGGGCAGCTGGCCTGATAACTGAATGTTTAGTTTTGTTCACACTGTAGTTTCACTGCCACTTTTTCCTTAAGGAAATCCTTTCAAAATATTATTTATTTTTATGGTAAATTGTGAATTATTTTGGAAAAAATAAATGCCAGAAAAGTAAGATTAGGGCCGAAATGAAGTTTTATAGAAAAAGTGTTTCCTTCAATGTCTTTTCAAGCTGTTGTGACCTCTGGATCAGATTAGTGCAGAATAAGAGATGAAGTTAAATATATACAATATGTATTTAAATGTTATAATTTTTAATAATTGTGTTTGTGATTGTGACAATTGCATGGATTATGAAGTGGTTGCCTGGATGTCAGTGCTTAGGAGTGTCTGTGAATTTGTGTTTATTTATTCTCGAACCACTGTAAATGAAATGAATGCAGTAGGTTGAAATTTGCCTTGTAAAAATCTGAATTAAACTCCAGAAGGAAGCACAAGGTAAAAAAACAACAACTAATTTTTTTTCACTACAGACTAATAGCAAAGAAAAGATGGACACAAAATACTTTGAAGAGTTGAAGTAAAATACACTGGTTACTTTATTTTCAAACAACAACCTCTCTCCAACCTGGTATATGTGCTGAACAGTTTATGTTTATGTGACTTGTTAAAAAAGTACTTAAATGTCCAACCAATGTCCTGTGAAAAAAAATCATGAAAATGATGTACAAGGTTTGAATGTCTAATATTAAGGTGAATGAGCTTGCAGATACAATGTTTCTGTCTCTTATTTTCATCACAAACCTCAAGTTCAACTCATCTTATAAACACAGGCATAAGTTAACATTCAGTTTTATAATTACTGTAGAATCTGAAGTGACATAATCATACTTCTGACAATAACTCACTGAACATGATTTAAAAAAACAAACAAAAAAACTTTCTTAATCAAATGGTCAGAATGGTGGGTTCAAATTCAGCTTCTTCCATATGATTCATTGAATCGCTCAGTGAGATAGGCGCCTGCTGTAACTGGCGGATATTTGTTGGAGCCATCACAGCAGGTGATCAGAGCCTCGTCATCCGGCTGGACAAAGTAAGCCAGAGACTGCCGTGTGCTGGAGTCTCCAACAGGAGGCAGCAAAACCCTGTGGAGCTAAGAAACAACAAGCAACACTAAACTATAATCCTAATGCCATGGCATATGCAAAAACTTTTTTGGGAAACATTTTAACTCTGTTGGCTTCAAAAAAGATCATGGGTCACAAAAACATATCTAAAGTTAAAGTAGGTGAGACCTTTCTTATTTCCTATAAATGACCCAATCTGACATATGTAGTCACATTTACTTTTCTAGTTACAGTGCATTTCCATAACCTTGTCATAAAACTTTGGGGCGGAAATATCCCCTTCACTCACCACAGAGACGAACTGATCGCTCGTCCAGCGCTGCATCAGGTCAGCGATATTGATGAGGATGGCTCCGGGGATACAGGGAACAGGGATGAATTCACCTGAGCGTGTACGCACCTGACGGTCAAAAAGTGTCAGGAGGATAACAGGATTATTTGATACTTTGCTTGACTTTAACACATAATGTGTTACTAACTAAGCAAAACACATGACTTACAATTGAAGAAACAGTGATGACAGCTGTTTAAAGTGGCACACCACAGGAATTCGAGCTTAAGTGAGTTTGTAAATTAATCAGACCCTTTTTCAGTATGTTACCAAGCAACTTATGTGCTTGTGTGTCCCAGTGGTACAGGCTATCTCTATCTCTACTTTTAAGATTAGGCTTAAAACTTTCCTTTTTGCTAAAGCATATAGTTAGGGCTGGACCAGGTGACCCTGAATCCTCCCTTAGTTATGCTGCAATAGATGTAGGCTGCCGGGGGATTCCCATGATGCATTAAGTTTTTCCTTTCCAGTCACCTTTCTCACTCACTATGTGTTAATAGACCTCTCTGCATTGAATCATATCTGTTATTAACCTCTGTCTCTCTTCCACAGCATGTCTTTTATCCTGTCTTCCTTCTCTCACCCCAACCGGTCGCAGCAGATGGCCGCCCCTCCCTGAGCCTGGTTCTGCCGGAGGTTTCTTCCTGTTAAAAGGGAGTTTTTCCTTCCCACTGTCGCCAAAGTGCTGCTCATAGGGGGTCATATGATTGTTGGGTTTTTCTCTGTATCTATGAAGCGCCTTGAGGCAACTTTTGTTGTGATTTGGCGCTATATAAATAAAATTGAATTGAATTGAATTGAATACAGGCCTTACCTGCAGACCTTCTGAGCTCTGGAACAGCAGAGTAATGCTGCCATAGTCTGAATGCTCTCCACATCGCAGCTGGCCCTCCTTTGCTTTCTCACAATTCACTGGTGGGTAGTAGAGAGATCGCATCGTAGTGCCATTTTTGTCAGCTAGAGGAGACACAGCAGTGTTGTCAATGCAGTGTATCTCTTGTTTGTTTGTACCAATTTATGGACCAATCCTCCAAAACCGTAATCTGGTCTGCCTTGAGGTTACACTTTACAAAAAAGAAAAAAAATTCTTTCCCAGAATTAATTTTTGTTAGATTTTCAGTCATTTCCCTTGTTTGTTACTCGCATTTACATGTGTCTTGTATTTATATTCATTTTTCTTTTATTTTGTGCTGTACTTTTATGTTATTTTTTAATTTAGGAGAAGAGCTATATAAAGTACTAAATGAATATAATATATAGTACATAAATTAAGCTAACATGTCTTGGTTGAACATTTTGCCCTTATTAGTATTCTCCCTAATTTTGTAGAATTAGATACTGCCAGTTTGTGTGTGTGTGTGTGTGTGTGTGTGTGTGTGTGTGTGTGTGTGTGTGTGTGTGAATAAAACCTTCTCACAAGGTCCATACGATCTGGGATCAGTGACCGCCCCTCATGACATGTAGCTTGAACACTTAGTAAAACTGATCATATGCCACTGTACACTGGGTACAGTGTATGGGGTAAACATACTTCCTATTAAACGGTGTGCACGCAAGAAGACTTCTGGGTCGAGTCCCAGACTGTGGGCCATCACCCTCAGCAACCGAAGACTCAGCTCTTTGCAGCGCAGAAAAAAGGATGTCTGGAACTCCTGAAAACTTTTCAAACTGCCTGATGATGGCCATTTCTACAACAGAAAACAACAGAACCACATCAGAGTCTGACTAATGATAATACTGATATTGATATCTTAAAGTACCCATAGTATGCTCATTGACCTACTTATAGTTTCAGTGTTATAATAAGATAGGTTTATGCTTTAATGTTCAATACATCAAAATTTTTGGTATCCTGTTATCCTGGACTTTACTGTACCAGCTCGTGTTGTTTTGTTATAATGTGTATTTAATGTAGAGAATGAGTCTGTAACCTTGCTGGTACTATTAAAAGTGCATAGCAGCTGAAAACGGATTCCAATTCTGATGGCTTGTTTGTATTACTCTCAACGGGGTGTGTTTGTGTCACTATTTTAATGTTTGTTTTGCTGTCAAATAACAAAGAATGAAATATGTAAAAAGAACAAGTTTATCTGGAATTTTGTGATATTAAGATGCAGGACATGTCAGTGACTTGATGTGGATTTTGGCTTTTAACTTCAAAATCCAAGAAACAAGGACACTCTGGAGTTCAGAGAAAAACCACCCATGTTTCAGCACCTTGTACGACCACCTGTGGTAGTAATATTTAAAGTACTGCCTTCTGTGCCACTCTTTCAGATTGTGTTACTGTTCACACTCTTCATTATAATGTTGCTCCAGTTCATCGAGGTGTGTAGTTGTTTTGCTTATGCACAGTTCTGTTAATGTCCCACCACATAATTTCAAACAGGTTGAAGTCTGTACTTTGACCGTGCCGTTGCAACACTCTCATTCTCTTCTTTTTCATTCATTCAGTTGTAGATTACCTGGGATCTTTGTCCTTTTGCATGACCCTATAGCTGTTGGACAGATGGCCTCACATTAGACTCTAAAATACTTTGGCATGCAGAGGAGTTCATGGTCAACCAGTGACTAAGGTCCCAGATCCTGTAGCTGCAAAACAAGCCCAATTTATCACCTGTCCACCAGTGTGCTTGAGAGTTAGGATGAGGTATATGTGCTAATATGCTGTTTTTGGTCCCTGATAAACAAGGTGCTGTACACTGTAGCCAAACATCTCCACTTTGCTCACATTCGTCCAAAGAAGAGATTGAGGAGTCTTGGACAGAAGAGTCTTTGTGCTGGCAACCCGTATGAACAAGAAGCCATATTTGTTCAGTCTTTTCCTAACTAGAACTTCATGAACTTTAACATTTAACTTCCAACTGAGGCCTATGGAGATGTAACTTTATTTCACTAAGACCTGCATGCTCTGACCTTGGAGTGAACTTGTAGGATGTCCATTCCAGGGATGACTGTGTAATTGTGTTAAGATTAAGGAAATGCCTCAGGAGAAAGTCTCCCCCAGGTCAGCAAACTGCCAAAACCTCTGCTCATATAGAGTTGGTTACACTTGCTGATTATCAGCTAATTATGTGCATTTGATGCAATCAAGTGTATTCAATAAGCAGCACCCCTGCTGCTACTTTCCTCTTAATAGGGGTGTACATAGTTTTTCAGTACTGCAGTTCAACATTTATTTTCCTGATTCCTCTCCAAACTTAACAGAGCTTTCTCTAAAGTAACAGATACTGAGTAACTTGTACTTTAACCCCCTGACTAATAACCTTGTGGCACCATGCAGTTGTTGTGTCTGAGCCCAAACTCTTAAGGTTAATCATAAAATAAATAAACTGATGAAAACAAACGATCAAGGCTTTTGCCTCCGAGTTATTACTATATCAGGATGAAGGGAGGCAGTGTTGAAAGACTCCTTCAGGTCCCCAGGTCGACGTGGATTCAACCTATAAAGAAATTATCCGAATTTAAACTCTCTTCCGCAGATACACATTAAAGTATAAAACGTATGCTTCCTACCTCTCCGTCTCCAATGACACCCAACCGTGGTTAGGGTTGTTCACGAAACTTTTCCTGCTGAAGGGTTGCTTCAGTTCATCTGGCTGCAGGAAGAATTTCTTGGATATGTCCATAACACAGTCCACCTGTCCAAACACACCAGAAGAAAAAGACGGATTCCAGTGTAAGTTCCTCGATAATAATTTGATTCTATCTAACTGGCCTCACCTCCTCCTGAGTAATCCCCGTGTTCCTCAGAAATGCAAAACCAACATCTCTAAATGCTGATTTCAACTCTGTGCTTAAACTCTGCCACTGCTCGTCAGCGACATCCTTCTCGCTCAGCCTGTAGGCGCCGAAATCCACAACTGGGATGTTCATTGTAAAAAAAAAAAAAAGCTAAAGTTTCTTCAGTAAAAACAGCGTCTGGTTAAAAGACAGCCTGAGCTGAACACGAACAGTAAAAATAAATCGCAAATGTCCACCACTAGTATCTAGGCTTTCGGTCACATGACATTGTCTAGCCAATAGGAAAAATTCTCTTATTAATGCCTTATTAATGAGAGGGAGAGAAAGAAAACCAAAGGGGAGAAGAGACGGTGAGAAGGGGGGGAAGAAAGAAAAAAACAAACAAACAAAAAAACAAAACACCTGGGTCACCTGTATGGAGAAAAAAAACAGAAGAGAAAGCAAACAACAAAGAGCAACATAATAAAAAAAACGGCACCATCACAATAAACTAGCTAGCAGTAGATATCAGTAGATACTAAATAATAAACGATATTGTGCAGCACGCAAGATAGACAGCGCACAATGTGCTTTGAGGCAGCAGCCAAGAAAGCTGTAGTCCGCGTCTGTGAATACCCGTGTGTACACCTGTGTGCATACCTGTGTGGATCAGCATGCTTGCATTCCAAAGGTTTCTCCATGTAACGATCTGCTAGGGAGTGTGGGGAGCCACAGCCCCGTCCTCCAGGGTATGAAGCAGGTATGGAGGAGATCAAAACTCCAGACATCCAGAGGCCCCCAGAACACAAGAGACCAAGGAAGACCAACAGAGGGGCAGCCGCGCCACTGTCCCAGTAAGAGCTGAGGAGAGTCCCAGATGAGGGCTCACTCAGCAGCCGCGGAGCAGAAGCCAGGGGGAGTTGCAGTGACGCGCCCGTGAGCTCCGCCGGCAGCCAGCTGTGCCTGAGTGACCGAGCCCCAGGCCGAGAGGCCGGGGGCACCCCACCTCCGAAGTGGCCCGAGCGAGCCCCAGGCTCCAGGCCCCGATAAGCGGCCGCCAAGGAGTGAGCCGGTGTGTACCCGGACGCCCACCCCAGACACAAAGAACCACCAACGCACCGACACCTGAGGGAGTCCGCCACTGGCAGGGGAAGTGGTGGTGGGTGGAGATAGGCCTCCAAACCTTGGAGGGCCTGAGATGTCCCCAGAGAGGTGGCGTCTGATACCCAACCTGACATATAGACACAGACATACAGGCACACACAGACACAAACATCCATTCCCACCCTCATGCTCTCATATGCACTTACTCCACACTCAACCAACGTGGAGACAGACATAAAGAGACGCTGTACACACGATCACACTCCCCAAGCGTACTCTACGAAACCGGGTCTAGGTACCCTTGCCCCTGGAGGGGGGAATTGCACCCAGACCCAGGTGGTGTTACCCTTTTCCCTGCGGTGGGGAGAGGCAGACCACCCCGACTCCGCAGCAGCAGGGAGGCCCCACACTCCAGACCGCAGTCGGACGGCCAACTCCTCCTACTAGCCCCCCCGCTCCAGCAGGCCGCAGAGAATGGGGGTGAGAGAAGACTCCAAACCTCCCTCCACCCGCTCATTGTAGTGTTGATGCATGTGTGTTCTAAGGTGCATTTAAAACCCAGGAGGGCATGGAGCTACCTGCCAGAGAGCAGCAGGTAAGCGCATGGTCCCTCCTGCTAGCCCTCAATGTCTACGTGTATTTAAAATTGAGAGGTGGGCAACGACGCCAGGGGTGGGGTGTACACCCTGATGGTACTTTGGATTCCGTGTATCGTGCCCACCCCAAGATCCTATATGTATGTGTAATGAGAGTGTGAGTAATGTGAATGTCTAAGTTGTGGGATAAAATTGAGGCAGAGGCAGCCAGAAGGGGACAGAGGGGGGGGGTATGCCTCCTCTGCACCCTGGTGACATACCCCTACTCCAAGGCCCTGCATGTGTGGGTGGTTGTGGTGGAGCGGGAAGAGGGAGGCAGCTGGAGATGGGGAGGGAAGGAAGGGAGGGGCAAGTGACCCCTCCCTGGGGCCAGCTCCCCCGCTGACCCCAGTAGGCACCCCCATACTCCGCGACCCGCCAGGGAAAGGGGGCCCAGGCCCATCCAGACCGGGGCCCAGTGCAGCAGCGCCTCCCGGCCCCACAGAGCCCGGGACAGTCCACCCAACCCCACCACAGAGAAAACTGCACCCACCCCACCATCCACTCATCTTCCAGACTACATGAGACAATAGACGCCCAGGCTGATTGTCTGCACTTTGCCAGAGATGGTTCTAGTCCCCTCTGGTGTTGATGCATCTTATTTGATTTAAAGAAAAACACATACACAGGAAAAGTAAAGTACATTAGCCTAGTGAGCTTACTCAGTATCTCTGATTGGTGACAAGGGAAAGGAAAACAACTTTAGTACAGTGACTGAAGAATTGGCTCTCTGAGTCTCTGTAACAGTTATCGGCTATGATTTTTCTAATATCTTGTTCTGTATTTTTTTTTTTTTTTAAATCTGGTGATGTTTTGAATCTGGTGAGTCTATTTGATATTGGATTCACATCATTAAGACTTGTCTAACCGTTCAGTGACCCCTAACACCCTCTGGATAGGGAATTGTCTAGCCAATAGGGTGAGGTCTTTTCCAAGCCTAGAAGACACTGATCCCAACAAGCTATAAATGTTTAATCACAGGATAAAGGTAACCATTCAGAAAAACTTTGCATTCATTTACAGCAACCCTTGTGTCTTAAGGACCAAGTGGACCCAAGGATCAAGGGTTCAGATTTTTCCTTTAGCTAGATGCAGAATCACTCATGTGTTACAGTCATAATAGGTCACTTTATCTCAAATCAGCCAATTCTTAAAATCTTTCCTGCTGGTACAAAGTTTCTTAACATCACAATGAACCAGGCTCTATAGTTTGAGACGGACATTAAAATGTGTGATAACTTGCTAGTTAAAATATGAAAAAAGTCCAGTGCTCCTGCAAAGTCCCATATTTGATCACTCATTAATAAAAAAAAATTAAAAAGGAAATTAGTGACAGTTTTTGAATGAATGTAGCTGAATTTTACAATACTGCAAAATAAAGTATGAAGACTTCTTTTTTGCCCGAGACTCTTAGCCACAAGCATGAAAAAAAATCCCTTTTTATTCAGCTTTCATGCTGGATTGACCAAGTGTGACAAGGTGTACCACAAAAACAAAAATATCAGAAGATAGTTTCATCTAATTCAAACAAAAATCTGGAGTTTTCAGATAGTACTTTAATTTATTTTATTTGCAAGATTTTAAGTTATCCAATTGTGGAATATTTACTGTTAAACCTTCCCTAATTTGTATAAAAATGTTATCATTTATAGTGTGGATGTAGAAAGAAAAAAAAGTAAACTAAAAAAAAAGCAAATTATACAATACAATACAACTTTATTTATAGAGCACATTTAAAAACCAACGGTATGCTTCACATAAAAGACAGAAAATAAGACAAAAATATTATAAAAATTAAATATTATTAAATATTATAGGACCATAACAAAGTACCAAGTATGCTAACAGGTCAGTGTCACTAATACACAGGAATACCATAAAATGCATATCAACTAAAACATGTTAAAATGACAAAGCCATTTAAAATATGTATAAAAGGTAAAATAGACGAAGTCCAGGGATTAGATACAGGCATTAACTAGCAGGAAAGGCAAGGTTAAATAAATAGGTTTTTAACCGTGATTTAAATGATTGGATAGAATCAGATGCGCGGATAGCAATAGGAAGGTTATTCCATAAATCTGGGGCAGCCAAGGCAATTGCACGGTCACCTCTAGACTTCAGACAAGATCTTGGCTGCACCAGGAGTAACTGAGTAGATGATCTCAGTGCTCGAGCGGGAATGTACGAACTAAGGAGCTCGATAAGGTAGCTCGGGGCTGCCTTGTTGACAATTTTAAAAATAAGCAGCAGTAGTTTAAATTGGATGCGGTATTTAATGGGTAGCCAGTGCAGGTCAGCTAGAACAGGGGTAATAGAGGTATACCTCCCAGTTCCGGTCAGAAGGCGTGCTGCCGCATTTTGAACAGCTTACAGTCTATGAAGAAGAGCAGAATGATCAAATCAAATTTAAAAGAGCTATCCAGCAACACGCCCAAATTGCTAACAGTGTCAGAGAGGGAGCTGGCAAGGGAACCAAAGGCATCACGAAATTGTCTGTGAAGAATATTGCTATCAAATACCATGATTTCAGTTTTCTTATCATTTAAGATAAGAGTTTCCTAAGAGCCACTCTTTGACCTCACACATGCACTCTTGAAAGCAGTGCAGAGACCGAGCAGGATCATCAGCAAGTTCAAAGTAGATCTGTCAGCATAACAATGATAAGCGATATTGTATTTCTCAAAGATTGCGCCTATAGGGAGCATATACAGCGAGAATAGAATAGGACCCAGCACAGATCCTTGAGGCACACCACAGTAGACAGGTGTAGGGGAGGAAGAGCAGGTGCCCGGGTTGACCGAGAAGGACCTATTGAAGAGGTATGATTTAAACCAATCAAGGGCAACACCTCTAATGCCTACAGTATGCTCAAGCCTCGCTAACAAGATGCTGTGATCCACCACGTCAGAAGCCGAGGATAAATCCAATAGAACTAGGACCGCAGAGCGTCCAGTATCAGCAATTAGAAGAAGATAATTTAGGACTCTAAGCAAAGCTGTTTCAGTGCTGTGACGTGGTTTAAAGGCAGGCTGGAATTTATCAATAATATCATTCGCATCCAAATACGACTGGAGTTGTGAAAGAACTATCCTCTCGAGAATTTTAGACAGGAACAGGAGCTTAGAGATTGGTCTGTAATTCGCATAATCATTATGATCAAGGTTTCTTTTTTTTAAGACTGCGGCTGGACTACAGCATGTTTAAGAGCTGACGGGACACAGCCAGAGAGTAAAGAAGAATTCATTAAAGATAAAATACTGGATCCAATTACGTCGAAGCAGTCCGTGACTATGCGAGATGGGAGGATATCATATATAGGATTAGTATTCTTCAGTTGCTCAACTAATCACTTGAGAGCAAGGAGTGACACGGGCTCAAACTGATGGAAGGTTGATGAACAACCAGGAGTAGAAACAGGGCTCGACACTAAAGGAAGCGAGGACTTAAGAGAAGAAACTTTATCTAAGAAGTGAATTAAAAATTGTTCACAAAGAGCCGGAGAGCACACCAGCGGCATATCAGGACGGGGATTGACCACAGAATTACAAATTTTAAATAGCGTTCAAATGTTGTGACCATGAGCCAGGATAATTTTTGATAAGAAAGCCACTTTGGCCATTTTAGCAGCAGTTTGAAATTTCGAGCGGCTGGCACGTAGGATTTCATAGGATACCTGGCGTTTATCTTTTTTCCACCTCCTCTCATCACGGCGGCAGACGTTTAACCAGTATTGGGAAAAGGTTCTAGGGTGCTTCAATTTACTAGGTGCAACAGCGTCAAGGATAGAGGAGCATATGGATACCCGTCACCCAGGTTCCAATATGGATCTAGGCGATGTGAGTAAGAGAATCTGAGATTTAAAAGTGTTTGTCTGTCGTAGGTTATTAGTGCACAACCATCTGCTGAGCATAAAACCAAAAAAATAAGGAGTACTATGCCAAGGTCCAGTAAAAGGGGTAGGGAAGGTAAAAAGCAGAGGCACAGACGTGGACAAGGACAGCTTGCCATACACATCGGCGCCATCTTTGAAAAAGAAGTCCTGAGAGATTAATTAAACAAAAAACACTTTTTTTCCTTTTTTTTTTTTTTACAACAAATAACCATTCCAGTGCATGTGATATTGAGTTACTTTTCTTTATGCAGAGAAGTGCTGTGCTGACTTGATGTCAATAGCCAAAGAGGCTAGGAAGCACAAACTGGGACCCTTGCAGCCATCTTTCAAACTGCTTCAGAGAGTGCAGGACACTCTGCTGAAGCATCTACCAGAAGATGCCCTTGTTCGAGCCTCTGGGAAGCTCAGCGTGTCCCTGACCAGAGTGTCTGATGTGAAGAACGTACTAGTGTCAGAGTTTGACAGCAGAGAAGAGCTCATTCAGGTATATTTTACAGCTTGGAGCCATTTTCATCCAGCAAAACTCTTCAAGGTTCAAGATTCAGAATTCCCAACTTTATAAGTATGCAAAAAAAAAGGATCAGATATGACTATTGACTAGAAAAATTTGCATTTCCTGCAAAAATGCAGTGTGGATGCCTTAACGCTGAATATGTAATTTGAAAAAAGCTGAAACAATTTAAAGTCGAAAAAAAAATGCTGCCCTGAGTAGGGTTCGAACCTGGCCATACTGGTCTAAGGGCGGCGACTCACCTCACTGCGCCAAACTCATTCTCACAAAGAAGAAGTGGAGAGACTGACAATTCTGGTGAAATTAGCAGAAGCTGCTTAGAATTGTGCTGATAAGAGGTGAAAAGGCTAAAAAAAATTTCAGAAGAGGTAAATAAGCAGAATTTGGGCAGAAAAGAGGTGAATCAGAAGAATTTCTGCTGAAAAGAGTTTTTTCTGAAAACAGCTGAGATTTGTGCTAATAAGAGGTGAAAAGGCTGAAAGTTTTTCAGAAGAGGTGAATAAGCAGAATTTGGGCATAAAAGAGGTGAAAATTCTGCTGAAAAGAGTTCAATCAGCAGAATTTCTGCTCAAAAGAGTTCAATCAGCAGAATTTCTGCTCAAAAGAGTTCAATCAGCAGAATTTCTGCTGAAAAGAGGTTTTCGCTGAAAACAGCTGAAAAAGCAAGTATTTGTCCTGAAAAGTGGTGAAAAAGCTGGAATTTGTGTTGAAGAGAGTTAAAAAAGTTTAACTGAAAGAAATGTTGCCATAAGCGGGATTTGAACCCAGGTCTCCCAGTCTGAGAACGGATGCTCAACTCACTGAACTAAAACTCAATAGTGTAGATGCCTATTCAGGCATCCACACTATTATACAGCTATCACTGTTTTCCTCATTGCTAAAATGGATTTAAAGGCACAGTGTGTAAAATCTCAACACTAGATGTCAGTAGATAGCAGTCACTTGAACTCTGTTTTATTACTCCTTTCGTGAATTTCTGTTTTCTATTTACACTGCAGGAAGCTATAAAACTTTGTTACAGAAGTCAGGTTGCTGCTGTTAGCTGCTGTTAATGAAACTTTCTTTAAAGTGGATCTAACATAGTTGGACTTGAACAATGAATAAACTCTCATATGATGTGAGAACGTAATCAAACTGTTTATTAGACGGAAAGTGTGATTTTTAGGATACTCAAACCTCACATTAGTTGGCATAATGTCAGCTTACAACCAGCTATTGTTGTTGTTTGGCCAACTCATTGCCAGCTGTGCACAGACAGGGGGGTCACATATTTAATCTTCTGACAATAAGTAACTGCAACTAGGAATAAACAAGCATGTTTATACGTGTTTTCATGTGATAGAAACTTGACTTCAGTTCAGGAGATGAGGCCTGAGGTGAGAAGAAAGAGGCTGAGGTAGAAATGAGGGAGGAGAGAGCAGTGGAGGAGGAGAAAGACATGATGGCAATATACATACTCATAAGGTATATATGTGCTTGATCTAGCTGCATCTATTAGGTGGATCAGTGACGTCTGTCTCAGCCACTGTATTCAAGATGGGAGAGCAACATGGCTCTTATTTATTTTTAAAGGATTTTAAAGGATAAATTCAAGTTCAAGAACGCATCAATTTGCTGGAAGATGTATTTACACAATAATTAATTTCTGTTTATGAGTACATTTTCTTCTGTTAAATAACTTAAACAAAGTACCTACTGTACCGTTAAAGGCTGACCAGAAAGACAAGAGACAAAACAGGACAAGTAGAAGAGAATTTTTGAGAAACTAGGTAGAGGAATAATTCTGTTGTCCTCTCTGGCATGGATGAGTTTGTGTTTCTACATCCAATGTGACATAATATCTGACCTTTCCTAGGCCCTCATATGCAGCTGCTTCGTCCCGTTTTACTGTGGTGTCATTCCACCCAGATACCGTGGAGTGGTAAGTATATTAGAAAGGTTGAAATGACAACCCAGTTGACATTACAGCACATAAACAGAGTTACACTTAGTTGTGTAACAGTATTCTGGTTTCTATCTGTGCAGCTGGCAGCATATGGAGACATCTCAAAACTCTGCTTGTGTCTTATCCTGATTTGTGAAACCAAGTTGAATTAAAGTTCTGGATGACAGATATGCTAAAAGTGATTGAGCCTTCATCAGAAACTGTGTACAGTTTTTTCAGTGTTAAATAATCCGAATATCTGGTTCTATGTGGTTGTGACATGGACCAAGATTATACCTAATGACAAACAGCTTACTTTTCCATTCAGCACTATGTGGACGGTGCTGTCACTGACAACCTGCCCGGTTGTCAACTGAAACAGACAATCACGTTCTCGCCATATGCTGGCAAGAGTGATATCTGCCCCCGGGCAAGCACACTAAACCTCCCTGAGGTACGCTTCAACAATGTCAGCATCCAGGTCAACTCAGAGAACCTCTACAGAGTGACCAGCACCTTCTTCCCTCCAGAGCCTGAGGTGTGTTACAGATTTGTGTAGATTTGTGTAGATTTCTATTATTTTCATCAGTTTTCATCAGTTTGAATTTTTACAGGCAATGGCTGAAATTTGCCACAATGGCTACAGGGATGCTTTTCGTTTCCTACAAGAAAACAGTAAGGACGTTGATAATGGCGGCTAAATATTCATGAGAATAAACTGGCTCCAAAAGATTCAACTCAAAATAAAACAAAAGATACAAAATAGACCATTCCATAGAGGCGTTTGTCAGATTTGTTTTTCTTTATTCCTTATCACATTGGACTTCTTTGCTTATCACAGATCTGATCAGCAGTGAGTGTCCCATAAGAAATCTGGCGATCGATTCATTTAAATATGTTTGCTGTGAAGTGGTGAAGGAGTCCAGCGTGAAGGCACAGCAGGATGGATTGAACACACTTCGGGAAGATCACTGGTGGTTGGATCCACACCTCGTAGAAAATCTCCCGATTGAAATTCAAAGGGGTAAGGACAGTTCGCCTGTGATGAGATCAGCAGGGAAAATACAGCAGACAAATAATATACCATTGAGCCAGTGCAATCATTTTTTAATGCAGTCAAAGTAAATATGTTTTTTATTGTATTTGTGTCAGTGCTATGCGTGGCCTGCAGAGAGACACGTACTGCTGATGGTCTGTTCTCCTACATGACTGGGTACCTGCCAAAGAAAGTGACTTCTTACATACAGATCCCCTATTTTCTGCCTGTTGAGTTGGTCAGCTCTCTATCCCAGAGGTACTTACTTACTAGTCTTTATGTTGGATCCACCACATTCAAATGAATTATGCTTACACTGAGCCCTTTTCTTCCCTGTGATCTTAAAATCAAAAACTGTTCTTTTGTTGTTGATGCCAAAAATGTATTTTTCATTCTCAACTACTAAACTGGGCAAACATTATTTAGTTTTTACTGTCAGTTATTTTTGGCAGAAGTAAAAATTTAAAAGGGATTTTCATTCTGGACCAATATTTCAGTCTAACCTTTAATGTAGGATTTTATACAGATTATTTCCCCTTTAGTGATAATGCCGATTTTACATCAAAGTGCCAAGTGCTTTGACCTTTCACAGCCATTGTGGATTAATGTGTTTCTCTCTCTTTGATTGCTTCTTTCAGATTAGTTTACTGGATTCCAGATCTACAGAGGGACATGAGCTGGCTCTATAGCATGGTTGGAGACATATACAAACAAGCATTGAAGGACAACAAGGAGGAGAGTGATAGGTAGGCAGTGAAAGGAAGATATGCTGTGCATTCTTCCACTCTTGATAAAAGGATGTAATGTGATTTCACTGGTGCAGACATGATATCATACTGTATGTCAAAGTACAAATGTGATAAATGTAGTCCTTAGTTTTATGGATGTCCTGAAACAAAGATTTGGATAACATGATTAAAATCTAAATAAGATAATTGTTGAAAAATCTATCATTAGATTTATTTCTTGGAACAATGGCCATGAGATGTTCTGACAGTGGATTCAGAAGATTTTCACACACATATTAATTTCAATGTTTGTTTTTCCAGTGAACCACCTCTGTGCAGATCTAAAAGCCTGCCGTTAGGCCTGAACCTGTGCAGTGAAGGAGAAGGAGATATAAACAATTCCTCAGTGACCCCAGAAGCCACTTCTGCCTCTAGCCGTACCTTTACGTGCAACACACACAGTACATTGGCTCACATGCTTCTGATACCACCCACTGGCAGCGGCACGTCTGGGTTTAATGAAACCAACCAAGTGCAGGTAGAGGCTGGGGTTTGGGCAGAGTTACGGGATGGCTGGGAAATTCAACCAAACAAACTTGAAATCTCAAGAAAAAAAAAAAACCCATAACAAGGAAAAACAACTGTGATTGTGTGTAGCCCAGTCTGAGAAACTGCAAGACATATTATCTTTTTGGCAGCAGCTGGCAACATCAGCTAAACAAAGAAAACAAATAAATAAACAAATAATGAATTACAATAATCTTTTTGCCACTGTAATAGGATATAATGAAAAAGAAAATCATTTATTTGTGTCATCATGCCTCAATGCCCTGTTTACAAGCTTAGATAAATCATCTCTTTCTTGCCTACAAACTATGCAAAATGGCATGGCCGGATTACCATGTTCTAGTAAGCAAGCTCACATTGCTCATTTTTTAAATTTAAAAGTATTGTATTTACGCTAAATAGAGAGGCTGTAGTGTATTTACCCCATCTTCTCCTGCTATTGGCTGTCTTTGATCACAGGCTCAGTCAGTTGTTCCTCACACATCACTGAACACTAAGAGTGGACAGAGCCTTTCAGACACTGGCACTAAGGGCTTGAGATGGTCTCCTACTACAACTATACATACCTGACTCTGTGGACTCCTTTAAAATGCATTTGCAAACTTGTCTTTCATATGTATATATTCCTGCTATTTTCTATTGTGATTCTTCCAAGTTTTTATTTTGTTTATTCTGTAAACTTGTATGGCTCTTTGTGACTACATAGCTGTATAAGTGTTTTATCAATAAACTCTTAATATTTTACTTACATATGAGTATTTAATGTTTACTTGGCTTTCATTTGGATCCATTCTTCTCACACACAGCCATAATGCTCAAATTGGAGCTTTTGAGCATTAACAAACAAATGAACAAACCAGTTTGATGTAAGGTCCAAGTGTCAAGTAAATAAATAGAAAGGTGTGTGTGTGTGTGTGTGTGTGTGTGTGTGTGTGTGTGTGTGTGTGTGTGTGTGTGT